AAACAATGGCTTTCCCTAATTTGTTAATGAAGAAGGGATTGAAATATTTGAAGCCTTATCGACTTATATAATTACAACTTGGTCAGCTAATATGATTGATTATTGTATGATCAACATATTCACAGGCACACATAATAATTATATTGAAAACTCTAATTTTGAGATGATTGTGATATGCTGTAATAGCATTTAACTAATTGTTTGAAACATTATTAATTTTGTTATTTTATAATATAAACTTTTTATATAATATATTTATTCGTTGTTTTAATGTTAAGTTTTAAATTAGCAATATATTGCATAATATACCATTGAATTTTACATTTACGTTGATTTCGAGAAGGGGGCCTAATTTATACACTTTGTCTCGGGCCCCAACAATCAAAGGATCAGCCTTGTCTATAATCCTTGGATTGTGAGTGTCAAAATCCATTACAATTAGACATGATGTTAGGCATGAAAAATATTAGGGTAAGTTTCATTCATAGACTATATTTTTTTATCTAGTTTCAATCAGGTAATTGTACTTTATTTTTCTTAAAATGGGTAATTTTATTTTAATTTGATTTCAATTGGATAACTCTACGTTGATTTGATTTTGATTAACTATATTTTGATTTGATTTCAAATTATGGTATCTTTCTCAAATTCAATTCACGAAAAATTGATGACATGGTAGTGAATATCATCACACGAGTCTATTAATTGCTAACCTAGAATAATTGCAAATTCAATGAAATAAATGACAAATTTCATTTATTGACAATTACGATATTGATTTACCTCAATCCAAACGATGGAATTGGATGGAGTTTCCCAATAGAAATCAAATCGAAGTGCAATTGCCTGATTGAAGAAAATTGAAATGTAGTGACCTATTGAAACTAAATGAAAGTGTAGCTACTCTAAGATAATTTATAAAGAAGATTACTTATATATTACTTATAAATAATTATAGAACAAATAGTTCTTTTAGATCATTTAAAATAAATAAATTACATATTTCTATAACTCGCTTTAAATAAATAACTTAATTATCAAAACATGTTTGAAAATAAAAAGATTGCATAAAAATTTTGGACAATTATTCTGTTGGCGAAGAAATGTGAGGTGTGAACTTGAAATATCACTAAAAAAGTGTGACTTTTGCACAGTGATGATTAGTGAATTTTTAGTGATTATTAGGAAGTAAAAATTTGGAAAGAATGACATAAAGACATATTTTATAGAATGATGCTACAGAGCTCGGGATTAAATTCCGGGCTCCGTTCTAGGGCCGAGGTGGCGCATGCCTCGGCCCTTGATCTTTAATACATGGGGCCCGTGCCCCTTTACACGAGGGATTGAGATTTCACCACCTCAGCCCCTGGATTTAATCCCGGGATCTGCAGCATTTTTGTATTTTATATTAGAAAGCTTATTAAGGAGGTTTTCATATTCGTTTAGCATATGGGACCTACCATTTGTTCATACAGCTAATCCCACCTCCTCAATCATCATTTATTTTATTACAAAATCCATGAAGATATGTTATCGTGCTTTAGTCAATTAAAATGTTCAACATCTTGTTTGTGTTCTCTTGTTTAATTTAGATATAAAATTAAGTTGATGAAAATTTAAGTCAAAATTAATAATTAATTTCAGCTACATATTTTGTGGAACCTACAACTTTTATCAACTTTTCAACCACACATTTTATTAATTTTTAACGTTTATTACTATATGCTAAAAATCGAATTTTAAATAAAATCAAATAGGGGCTAAGTAACATCATGTCTAAGATTGAGTATAATTTGTCAAACCAAGTTGCCACTTCCATATTTAGACAAAAATGATTGGTGTACAGAATTTATTTTTACAGAATATGTACGAAACTCTCACAAAGGTGTGGGCCTCACTTGAATAAATAATGTCAAAAAATTAACTCACCCTCCTTCCCCCCACCCCCCTATGTGAGGTGTTGGTGAACCCCTACCTGTACACCAATCATCTCTCATATTTAGATAGCCCGATGTAGGCTATCAGTGTACATGACACACTACCTATGACTAGAAAATGTGAGACCAACTCCATTGTAGAACAATCTTAAGATGATATTTGAAGTTTTGCAATATATTTTGTTAAGTTGGAGTAGTTTGATAGAGCAATCTTTCGAAGATGACAAAATGAGTTGAATTTCTTGTTGACAAAGTAACGATGACAAAATTTGAAGAGATGGAACTTTGCACGTCAAAAGTGAGAACAAGATGACTACATGTTTTTTTGACATGGCTTTTAAGAAGTCTAAAGGAGTCTTGAAATTTAAAAGTTGCTTTTGAATTCATTTGGTTAATATTATAAAAATGTTTCTTTTAATTAAAAGAAATTCATCCAATATGGCATATCCTTTAAAAGTTCTTCCAAAAGATGAAACTCTTTTAAAAATTAATTTTCAAACTTAATTAAGGTAGTTTCTTCGAAAAGATCTTCTACAAAAAAACATAGAAGTAAAAAACAGAAGTCCTGCCAAAATGACACTCATTTGCAAAGGGTATATTCGCAACATCATGTCAAACATCTTGTTTGAAGAATACTATAATAATTTGGGGCCAAGGAAATCTGGGATGCCTTAGAAGCCAAATACATGCTCGAAGACACTACAAGTAAGAAATTCTCAAGTTCTAAATTGTTTTTGTTTCGAGTGGTTGAAAGTTGGGAATAGAGGAACAATTTTATGAAATTTGTTCATATCTACAATCAATTTCTTCAATATAATATGAACAGGGATGAATATATTTTGGTATCATCAATAATTGATAAACTTCCTTCCACTTGGAAAGACTACAAGAAAAGTCGTAAGCATCTAAAGGAGGATATCTTCATTGAAGAATTGGGCTGTCATCTAGGGACGGATTCAGATTTGAATTCAAGATCGAGCTAAAAAATTTCTGAATTATAAAAATAAAAGTTGGTAATACCTTGATAGTATATTATTATATATAAACTTAAATGGTTCTTATTCTACATGTATTCTAGGATATGATTTCTTAATAATATAAATTAAGCCATTTATTTGGTTTGTTTCTTTAATGCATGACATATGATATAGTTTCTATTTGATTTATGTTAACTAGTAAAAACATAAGAATAGAAGGTAAAGTTAAAATAATAATGCTTGTGATCTTAAGTTTATGCACATTAAAGACTTTTGTAATTGTTTATCTTGATGCTTCATTGATATTATCATTATATATAACTAGGAAAATGAAAGACTTTTGTTCTCCAACTTGTTCGTTAAAAGGAAAGTATTATCTTCTCCAAAGGATTAATATTGGAAATTAAAAGAAGGCATAAAACATATTGTAACTTAGTTTATCTTCAAGGAGGAAGTATAATACCAAGTCGGAAACTTGAAAAGGAAATCAAATGCAAAGAGTTTAATTGACAATGTTAGTTGATTAAAATGGTAAAAGAGAACGTTGATGTCTTATTCTCTATGTTTGATAAGTAAATGTACAAGTAGTCTCTTTGAAATGTGAATTAGGGCATGTTCGGTAGTAATTAAGAGAATTAATTTTTTGACTGTTAGAGAGAAAAGTGGATCCCACCTGAGAAAGGAGAAGTAAAAAATAACGATCGGAATAGTGAAATAACAGTCTAACAATTGATTTTTTAGAGTGAAAATTTGCTAACAAATGGGGGCTTAGGTGATTGACCTAATGCTTCTAGTGCTATAAAAGCAACTTTGTAATTGATTAAGTTACTATAACATTTTAACCTTTGACATAAAAGACATTGAGGGTAAATATTGTCCTAAGAATAGCTGCATCATGTGCTTTGTAATTTAGTCTTTTAATCTTAATGTGAAACGTGATTTTCTCTAACTCGATCTACTTTTTCGATCGGCCTTGAAGATACTTCTTACCATCCATAGTCTCAAAGACTTAGATATTGATGTAGCTTGAATTTTTAAATGGACTAACTTATACGTCTTTTACTTAAAGGGGGCTCGCCTCGAATTTCAATAGTTCACCTTCTTTGCACCATTAATTTAGAACTTGTGCTTGTGGTCCAAAAAAAGTAAGGGGTAGTTTTAATAGAAACCAATCAAGATTTCCATCAAAATTTTGGGCATGTCAAAAAAGATATGAGTACGTTGTAAAACATATGGTTATGGAGATCTGTTAGAGTCTTTTTAATATGATAAAATAAGTTATATGTAATTATTAATTGACTAGATTAATAATGGTTGATTTTTTTAAGAATAATGTTATGTAGCTCCACTAAAGTTACAACCCCAGTTTACGTGAATAGAATGAATGAAATTTGAAATTAAATGACTTATTTAATTTTATCTATCATTTAATGTCCCATTAACGTTGCCAAAATTGGGATTGTAATCCCAGTGAGACTAAATATTATTACTCTACATTAACAAGATAATAACTTCATGTACTAATGTTAGTGCACTTATGTATTCGATAAGACCATTTACATTCTACATAATCATTTTAATTTTCTCCAGATAATGAATTAAATTTTATTTTATCATCCAAAAAAAAAGGTGGTTACATGAATCTTGTATTTTCATTCGCTTATTTTTACAGTAATATAATATTTGTTGAAAGATTTAAAAGAACTTAATAATTGCAAATTGCAATATAATGTGTTTTGATTTTGCTAAGAATGTTCATATATCTTAACGACCTAAGTTGCCGTCATCTCCACAATTTATTCTTAATATTCTCTTTCCATCGACTTTGCTAAACGTGGTTGAACTATCTTGCTTTATCAACCGAGCTATAAAATCATTATGTAATTTTAAGTACTTTAAAATTAAAATAATAATAATAATAATAGAAAATAAATTTAAGGGCCGTTCTCTTTGACGTTTTCCTAAAAATAAAGTTCAAACACAACCTAAGTGAACTAGATAAAATGAAGTTTGTACAACCCAACATACTAAACACGGTTTATACATCAAATCTCCTACCAATGCATATCCGTTTCTTCTCAAAATAAACTAGAAAATTGACATTCTATGTATAAATTGCCTTGCCATAAATATAGGTGTAAGTAGGGCTGCCATTTCTGGCGGAAGGTAGAGGCCAGCCATCAAGAAATAAACTATATGAATGGAGATGGTCCAACCAACATTTACACCTCTATCTCGTTTTAAATCAAGTTTGTACAAACTACTCTTGTGGCTCAAGAGTTCTGTTTCTCCTCCGTTCTCTAGTTGCCATTTTCTCCCCGTACCTTGCAAATATATCTGCTAAATCAAACAAACCAACCTCTCTCAATTTCTCAGCCATCACTTCAAACATAATCGCACCTTCCTCATTCGAAAAATAATGCAAAAACCTATTGTAATCAAATCTTGGCACCTCAAGTCCTCTATTCATCATTCTCTCCACATATTTTGTTGCTTCCAATGACTTCCCTGCCTTAACCAAACCTCCAACAAAAATGGTGTCAAAATTAACCAATGGATCCTCCCCTTTCCTCCCTCTCCTTCCCAAATGGCCCTGCAACAACATTATATACGTATGCATTGTCGGCTCGCACCCTCGGTTTATCATCTCCCTAAACAATTGTGTGGCTTCACTAGGCCTTTTCAACCTTAAAAGCCCCTTGATCATCCCATGATAAACATCCAGATCCGGCTTTTCAATCCTTTCCACAATGTTAAAAGCCTCCCTAACCCTTCCTTTGCTCACAAGTCCGTAAATTATCGACCCCAATATTTCATTATCAGCTTTGATACCTCTCATTTGCATTTCGTCAAACACATTATGAGCCTCCCCAATCCTACCCTTTTTACACAACCAATTGATCACAACCTGATATGTTGATAGCCCTAAATCTTCCATCCTCTTCACTCTCATTGATTGAAAAAGCTTCAATCCCTCATCGAATCTGTTATTCTTGAAAAGACCCTCTAACATGGCGTCAAAGGCATTAATACCCGGTTCGAACCCTTCATCCACCATCAAATTCCATACTTTTGAGGCCTCAATCAAGTCCCCTACATCACAAAACCCATATATTAACCACCTATAAGTCTCTCCATCTAGTTTAACACAATCTTTCAACTTCACAACTACATGCTTGGCCTCCACAACAAGCTTGTTTTTACACAAAAACTCCACTAACTTATTCAAAACCTCAACTCTATACTCATAACCAAACCCATTCATTAAATGGAAGAATTCAACACATTTCTTCAACTCCCTAGCAGCAGCCAGTGTTCTTAATGCAATAATATATGTCTTAATATTAAGCAAGTGAAGTTTTCCTATTTCTTGACATAAGTCCCAGAAAAGCTCAATGTTTCTTGATTTACCTACCACGTCAAGCATCTTGTTGAAGGTAGTGGAGGAGTGGGTGAAATGAGGTTGTGCAACGGAGAATAGATGGAATCTGTAAATGGGTCGCCATGAATACTGAAAATTGTTGCAGACTTGGAGGAAAAACTCGTGGGTGAGATTGAAGGGGGTTTTGGTGAGGCTATTGTGGAGTTTCGGCTCGGGGGAGTTTTGCTGTTGATAGAGGATTGTGCAGACTCTGAGAAGGTGGGCTTGATTCACCGGTGTTATTGGCTGGGCAAGGGGCGGATGGCTGCTGGTGTCGGAAGTAGAAACGCCGACGGCAGCTGTTGTTAAAGTCTGAAGGTCGATATGGCGAGGACGAAAGGTTATGAAATTTTGGATTATTTTAGTTGTTCGGATCATTTGGGAGAAAAGAGTGACAACTATTCGAATTACTTTCGAAAAGACTGGATTCGTGGCGGTGACGACACCTCCGAACCGAGCGATGGTAATCTTCTGTCGCTCAAGACAGAGGTTAACGTTAGGCCAGCAAGGTTGTTCCGGCCGCCGCCAGTATTTATGTTCGTACTGTCATCCTGTTTAATTCTTTGAAAACCCCGGATTTTCTCACCGCCAACGGTGTCCATTAACGACTGAATGGGAAAAAATATAATAAATTTTGAAATTCATCAAAAGAAACAAAAGGAAAAGACGGGATTTAGGGTTCTTCGTGATAGGCTTTCTCGGGAATTTAACGATGTGAAACTTCGTTTATCGGTAGATAATGAGATTTCTCGGAATCCGAATTTCAAATGGAAAACTGATGAAAACAAAGGGCATATGGAACTTTGTTAATTGTTGAACGAAACAATCGGAAAATGGGACTTTGTCGGATCTGAGAAAAATGTTATTCAAAATCAAAGAAAATTGGATTCCTACAGTGAAAAAGCATCGGATACGCTTCGTGTGGGAACTATCAAACCCGAGAACAGTACCAGATCTGAAATTGGTACAGCCTTTTCCCTTTTGATGTAGATGATAAATTGATACAAATTTTGCGTCGACAATTGGAGATAAAACGAAGAGAAATCGGAGAAACAGTTTGCTAAAACTTTTTGTATGGTAGTGATAATGGAGATAGGTGTTATAAAGTATAAGGCTGCACTTGTTTTGGCGTTTTCGGGCCATTTTTCATTTTCGTTTTTGAAATCGTGGAATACGTATTTGATCTGTCATTTTTAAAAATGCATTTTTAAAAACGAGTTAAAATTTATAATTGAAAACACAAAATGACTTTTTATTGTTTTGAGCGTTTTCAGTTATTTATTTCCAAAACGCGGAAAACGTCCAAAACGTGCCGTTTTCGAGGAAAAATAAAAATCGTTTTGAAACCGAAAATGAAACCAATCACACCCTAAATCTTTCGTCTTTTGTTTGTTGGCTCAACTGTGTTTCTATTTTTCTATATCCATCGAAGAAAAAAATAGGAAACAATAACTCTCTCCCTCATGGATCAGCTGATTCTTGAGTGTATTGTGTGAGAGAGAAAATTTGTACATTATTTTCCGAATTACTTACGAATTACTTATTTTCCGAGGGAAATAAGTATAATTCCAATATTCTCCTCTTATATAATTTGTTTGGACATTATTATAACTTCTTTATAATTTGAAGATTAAACTCAAAGAAACATAACAATGAATTTTACTAAGAACCATCAATGAGGTAAAATCGTCATGTACTAATAAGCTTCATACTACACAAAATAAGAAACAAAATTTTTAGCAATAATGAAACAAACGTAAAAACATGATGCAAGTGAACATCAAGAAAAGAAAATTCCTGGCAAATTGCCAACAGATGTGCTGCTCTGATTTGATCAGAAACTGGAAATCTTTGAGGAAGTATGCGGCTAATACAAATTACTCCATGTGCATTGTTTGTCCTTGATGATCACAATCAACGCTGCAAGACAAACCATAATTTTAGTTATAGTAGAAGATTTTTTTTTCGCTGAGACGACATGGATGAAAAAAACGAACAGAAAATTTAACCTGAGATTGTGATGTGTTAGGTTCTTCAATCTCAGGCTCAGCTTTAACATTCTCCTCACCTGCAGAGAGTGGTGTAGAACATGTAATTGATGGTGTGATTTTAAGTTTCCACCGGAGCGAACACATGTGAAAAAGATAATGATAATTAAATTAAGCTGCTTGTACTTTTGACAGATGCTGAAGTGGCATGCACATAAGCCCAGCTTCTGCAAACAAAAACTGTACAAGCAACATGGTTCATGACAATTTACCTCCATCTTCAGGCAAATCGGAGGTCCAAAGAGTGAGGTTGTCTCGTAGCAGCTGCATAATTAAGGTACTGTCTTTATAAGACTCTTCACTCAAAGTATCCAACTCCGCAATTGCCTCATCAAAAGCTTGTTTAGCCAAATGACAAGCCCTGCATATACCAATCTACAATTTACATAAAGAGATTCTTGAAAGAAGTTGAGGGATAATGGAAGACTATTTACCGCTCAGGAGAATTCATAATCTCATAGTAGAACACGGAGAAGTTCAAAGCGAGACCAAGACGAATAGGGTGGGTTGAAGGGAGATCTGTATTAGCAATGGCTGATGCAGACTACAAAAATTGGCAACAAAGTTATGCACAAGAAATATATTGGCTTGCATGGTTTGTTGTTTGTCTATATGAATGTACGGCCGGCATGTTCGGTATGGATAGGACAAGACATTACAGTATGATGAACAAGAAATTTTTTTTTTCCTTCATTAATATCGTCTAGTCTATCTTACCAAACATGCCATATATTGAGAGTAGTTAACATGCCTCGTAGCCCTTGAGAGATAGATCAGCTGCCTCTTTTCTTTCTTGATCAGTCTTAAACTCCGCAAGGTAGCGGAAATAGTCACCTTTCCTGGAATAAGTCATAATCAACCGGCTTAAATCTTAGCAACAAAGCTGAAAGAATTTGGAAAAAGTTGATATTCAAACCGTAGAACAACAACGAACTAAGCTATATTCCCAACAAATTTGGAGTCAATGCTTTATGATTCGAACATAATAGGATTAACAAATGATATTGATCTGATTCAAGTTCATCGAGAGGTAAAGCAATAAGAACAATATGATCTACTCACATCTTGTAATAGAAAACAGTAGCTTCTCCTGAACCAGAAGAGGGAACCAGATGCTTGTCAATGATGGACAAAATGTCATAGCAAATCTTGGATAATTCCTCCTCGACTTTCTGGCGATAACCCTTAATCAGCTTAACATTGTTCTCATTTCCTTTCGACTCTTCCTTTTGCTCAATGGAAGACAAAATACGCCAAGAAGCTCTTCGTGCACCGATCACATTCTTATACCCAACAGATAGCAGATTCCTCTCCTCCACTGACAGTTCAACATCTAGTTTTGCAACCATTTTCATACTTTCAACCATTTCTGAAACAATTTGTCTTCCATGTTAAATTCCGAAGGTACATTTTGTGAAGAAATGAGTTGCATTTATCCCATAAAATCTTAACCAAATCTGGAAAATGAATCTTTCTTCATATTTTCATTTTTTTCCTTAATCATTTCAACCGATTCATATACAGATAAATGCCATCAGATGTTATAAACCAGACAAAAATACACACAGACACACACACTGATCCATTGAAGATTCAGAAAACAGGCTGATCTCCACGATTCGAACTCAAATTTGCAGGAAAAAAATTGCATGCATGTATGAACAATTGAATACAGAAATACAAACCATCGTAACGCTCAGCTTGTTCGGCGATCTTGGCCATGTAAACATGATTCTCTCTCTCCTTTTCGTTCGACATTTTTTATTTTATTTTCTTTGATCTGTGAAGAATTCAGAGGGTGAATAACCATGTTTTTATAAACGTTAAGAGAGAAAAAAGGAGATGGAGGGGTAGTTTCGGAATTTAGTCAGGCGCGAAAATATTGCAAAAGACACACGTGTGTGTTTTTTACTTCTCTGTTGGTTGCATTGAATCCTTTTCTGTCGGAGACTATATCCAAAAAACACAACATTTTTGGAATTAATAAAATTAAATTAATTTAATTTATTATTAAAGGAATTTTAAAAAAATTAATATCCTTTTTGTACTATCAAATTCCTTGATAAATGATAAAATATTTTTTAATTAAAATTGCTACGTTGAGATCAAGTCTTCACTAAAAACACGGTTAGACTTTCGTCCTAAAGAAGGGAAAAAATCGCCGGAAGTTACTTGTTTTAAAATAATCATTGGAATTTGCCTCTTATTTAATCCATATTCAATGAAAATTATGATTGAAAAATGGGAAAATTTCATAACTAAGAAAGAAATTATGGCACATTTCAAAAACAAGAAAACAAGTTTCAAATTTCTAAAATCAGATTTTTATTAAAAATTATTTATAATTTAATTAGTTAATTAATTATTTTATTAATTAAATATATTTAGTTCACAGATCTATGCAATTTGATCACAAATTAACAATATAATTAGTTACTAATTATTTTTTTGTCACAAATTAAAAATTTTATGTCTCAAATTTTTTTACGATCACATTTCAAAAATTTTCTTAGTCACAATTTGTTTATTGGTCACAAATCCAAAAATAATTAATCACGGATTAATTTTTAGTCACTACTTATCATATTATTGATCCCAACTTATTTTTCGGTCACAAATTAAAAATTTTATAGGTCACATATTATTTTTCGATTACGAATCAAAAATTTTATAGGTCACAGATTAATTTTCCGGTCACAACTCAATAAATTATAAGTCACAAACACAAATTTTATAGGTCACATATTATTTTTTGATCACGAATAAAAAAATTTATAGGTCACGAAATCAAAATTGTTATTGGTCACATCTAATTTGTCAGCCACAAATCAAAAATTTCTTAGGTCACAATTCATTGATTAGTCACAAAATCAAAATTTTAATTGGTCACAATTCATTTATCAGTCACAAATTATATCAAAATAATTTGTCACAATTAATTTTATGGTCACAAATTAATAAATTACAAGTCACAAACCAATTAATTGATCACAAATAACCAAATAATTGGTTACAAATACCCCATCCCATCCCGTCGACCCCCAATCACCACCTGCCACGACCACCTTCATCTCATCGGTATGCAAAACCACCATCACAGCAACCACCCACACCACGTCAATGTAAAATCACCGTCACAGTAACCACACCATCACACACCAAACTCCGAAACCAATAACCTCCACTGCCGCCAGAAAACAACCACGATCGCAGCCACCAAACACACCAACAGTAGCACCGCACGCCACCAAAGTCACCACCACCGCACCCTTACACCACCACCGCTCCACAGCCTACGGCACAACACGAAGAGAAGGAGGAGCGCGAGGGCATCACTCCGACGGCATCAAGTCACTCCGGCGTCGACGACGCCCGCGCCAACGCTCTCAGGTTGAGAGGTCTCACCTACCAACCACCAATACTTGTATCCTCAACTGTCACCTCCAAATTCCACCACCACCTCTACATCACTAATCGTCGCCGATCGCTATGCTCCAACAGTCCTTTCTCCGCCTCACGTCAGTCTGTCACTGACTTTTCTTCTCCAACGACAGCATAAACAACCCAGCTCCATCTATCGACCAAGTTTCCACGCACTCCGCTCCTCACACCACCGCACCACCACCGAAAAATCCTTGAAGTCAACGTCACTTCTACCGCCACCACACCACTACACCACCACCAAAAAATTCCCAAACTCGACGTCGTCTTGTTGCCACAACCATCACCACTACCTATTTCAACATTCACCAACACAACCATCTTAAATCAACCATTTCCTTCAACTTTACCAAAAAAAAAAACCAGCACCACCACCTCCTCAAAGCACCGCAAACACCACCACAACAACTGCATGCAATCAACAAAACCTCAAACCAAAAATTTCGGCACCAGATTGCGATCAGATCTTGATTAGATTTCCCCAATTTTTTCAGTGTGAGTGACCACAATGCTACGGACATTTTCTTCAGGGAAGAGAGAAAGAGAGAATATTGGGAATAAATTAGGGTTTGTGTATGTAATGGAGTATATATATTTAGTAAAAATATTTATTTTAAAAAAATATTAATTAAAATAAAATTTCTGACTTTTGAAAAATTAAACTATCCATTTTATTTTAGAATTGTGAATTTTTAATGCATGGAATTATGTAATTTCCACTTGAAAAATTATCCAACTAAATTTGTGATTAAAATAAATATTGATTTTGAATTCAAATTTTAATTTGATTTAAATATAACACCAAATATGGGACATTGATGTTTTCCACATTAGATAATTTGTGTGAAAACAATTACAATAGTGAAAGTCGAGAATAATATTATTCAATAAGTGCAAATAGCCTAAACATTTCGTTTTATTAGTTCAAATCCTAACCTTATTGGACAAACAAGCCAATTAAAGGACGTTTGAGCGATTTTCATCCAAAAATTCATTAATTCAAAGTTTGACTAATTGATTTTTTATTTTTTTTTAAAGGACAAAATCAACATTCTACCTTTTCAATAATTTAAAAAATGTAAATCTCTCATCTTCCCGAACACATTCCCACCAGTCACCACTACTTCAACCACCACCACTCCAAGCGTCACAAATGCTGTCAAAGATTTCGACTACGGCTTGAGATGACAATGAAGTTTCTCATCTCATTCAACTGATCCCTACGAAGTTTAGGGAAGTTTGCACTTGTGTTAGAGAAATCATAAGGATATTTAACTAAGTACTTCAAAAATTATAAAGATTAAAGGCACAAAAACAAGATTAATTGAATCGCCCCAACTTTATTTCTCTAAAAACTAAGAAAACT